TGAACAGAGTGGCATAAAAAGTTGGAAAGGTAGACAGGAGCCAAGGTCATGAAAGACTTGATTTGGGGAGAGGGGGACCTGAGTGGCTCATCTGCATCTGCCTTCAGCTCAGGTCATGATCCCAAGTTCCTGGGATCGAGCCCCATATCAGGCTCCCTGCTCAGCTGGGAGCCTGCCTCTCCCTCTCCCTCTGCCCCTCCCCCCTGCTCATGCCTTCTCTTTCTCAAATGAATAAATAAAATCCTAAAAAAAAAGACTTAAAGAAAAAAAAGAATTGATGGAACATGAAAAATCATTTGGTTATTATTGTAGCACTAGAAAAATATAGAATAAAGTATGACATGCTGTGTACATTTATTCAAATGATATTTGCTATATGCCTACTGTGAGCCTGATAGTGTGTTAAGTGCTCGGAAAATGATGTAAAGTTTTGCTCTCCATGAAACGTACAGTTTAATAAAGACTGGAATATTGATTACATAGGAGTATATAAACCCAAACTGATATGTGCTCTGAAGGTAGGAAATGTGATCCCAGGAGGTTTATAACATACATATCTGGCATAGCATAGCTTGAGAAGTCAGGGAATGCTCCCTGGAGGAAGTAATCATTAAACTGAGATCTGATGAATGGAACAGGAAAGTCTGACCAGGCCAAGTGTAAGGAGAAATGTGCATATCACTGCTGTGGTGTTAACCAGGGTGTTACTGAAGAGTACTGTGGCTTAACTGCAGAAGGTAAGGGTCATTGTAGTGTGGGATGACACTGTAGACATACAGAGAACCAGAGCCAAAATATATCATGTAAGTCCTATAAGAATTTGGTTTATAGCCTAAGAGCAATGGAGACCACTGAAAGCTTTTAAGCTGTGGGAGAAATGATCAGATGTGGAAATGTTAGTCTGGTTGCAGGATGCAGAAGAGATTGGAAGACAATCAGATTGGATGATGAGACAGCATGACAGAGATACTGTTACCAGACTCCAGGCAGGAAAGATGGTAACAGTGAAGATGAGAGAAGTGGACAGATTTTACCTACATTTAAGACAATATTTCTCAACTTTATTTTTAATCACCCCGTTTTTTAGACATTTTTATAGCCCCTCCTCCATGAAATTGTAATACCACAAGCATATTGTATATCTGATTTTATATGTATATATATGTGTGTGTGTGTGTTTGTATTCTTTATACATTAAAAAATTAAAATATTTTGTCCTCCTACCAAAGACTAATTTTCATTTACCTGAAGACAATCTATAAAATCTACAACTCATGAAGAATGCATGGCTTAGAGGGTGCCTGGGTGGCTCAGTTGGTTAAGCAACTGCCTTCGGCTCAGGTCATGATCCTGGAGTCCTGGGATCGAGTCCCACATCAGGCTCCCTGCTCAGCAGGGAGTCTGCTTCTCCCCCTGACCCTATCCCCTCTTGTGCTCTCTCTCTCTCTCACTCTCTCTCTCAAATAAATAAAATTAAATTAAAAAAGAATGCATGGCTTAGAAATTATAATTCAACAGATCATAGTAGTGATTTGGATATAGAGTAGAAGAAGGAGATCACTTTTTCTAGCTTGTGTAATTTGATGGTGTCCTTTTTGAGAAAGGGAACACTGGAAATGAACCAGATTTGAGTGAGGTCAGACAAGATCATGGGTATTCTTTTAGCAAATCAAGTCTGAATTATCTTTGAGAAATCTCAATGGAAGTTTTCATCCAAGTGGCCATAGAAACGAAGTTGTCTCTGTCATTCATTGCTTTTCTGAAGGTAACTAATATTTTCCTAGTTATAAGATCTGGTACCAAAGACCTGCCGCATCCTGTCGATGTTGGACTTCAGGGGGAGGGGCGTGGAGCAAGGATGAAAGAGAATGTCCTGGCTGATGTGGTCACAGAGTCTGAGACAGAGAAAGAAACCCCACACACATCCAGGGAGACTTCGGGGCAGGGTCATTTTTTTTTTTTAAACTCTCCATCAAATCCTGTTACCAACTGGAAAAATGAATGAAGAAGTAAAATCTTTCTAAATGTCTTGTTCTGAGAATAGAGAAGTAAAAAAACTTGTAAAGACTTCATATCCATAATGTGGGAAGGGAATTAAATGAGTGCATCTTAGGAGTTTTCTTATTTTTATCTAAGAGTAGATAGAGTTTGATTTTTAAAAATAGGAAGAGTTGTCACTCTAACATTCAAAAGTATAGTTAATTTTTAAAGTAAATTTAATAAACCAAAATTAATAAAGTAAGCAATAATTATGTGCAAAGAAAAGAGAAATTGACAACATATATATCCTAAGACCCAGTGTATACCCGTATTTAATTTTTGTCCATTAGGCCATTCTACAATTCTTGTCCAATTGCAGTGCAACTAAATATCTTCAAGGGGACATGCAATTGATTTATAATCAATAGAAATAATAACCAAAGGTGGTCTTTTGGGTACTTTCTAGCTACTAGTTATTACAAATAATGTCTTAAATATCCATCTAAAGAAGAAAGAATATATAACACACATTGTGAAATTTTCCACAGCTATTGGCACATGTAACAAGAGTGATTCTCACATCTACTGTAGTAAGTAAATCAAGTCAGAAACAGAAGAGTACATACTGTTGTGACTATATATACACGTTTATTCAGAAATAGACAAAAATAATCTATGGTCATAGAAGCCAAGGAAGTGAATACTTTGGCGTTTAAGTGACTGGGGTGGAGGGAACACCAGGAAGACTTGATGGTTTATTTCAAAGGGGTCCTACTCTTACATGTGCAGCAGCATATAGAATATTCCTAACAGTAGGTTTATTACAAATAATTCTGTTATGAGATTCTTGTACATACCTTTGGTACACACATGTATGAAATTCTGATGATACTGTTAAAACATAATTTTAGAAAGTTAACGTCACTGTCATGCAAGTATAAAATAAGCTCATGTCAATGATTTAAGAATTAGTTAATAATAACTAATTCATTAATGAAAGAACCAATCATATTGTGATGCTGGTTCAAAGAGTATTTGAGAAGCAGGAACTCACACAGTTCATTAGAAAAGGTACACTGAAGTAGTTCATTTAGTTCTTTATTTTTATATAAGACATTTGTTTAATGTTCTGTAGGGCAAAAAACTCTAGTGTTTAGGAATGTTCACATTTCTGTACTCAGGGTCTGGAAAATAGAGAGAGTTAATATTTTCTGCATGCATCATTTATGGTTTCAGAATTTGAAATGAACATGTACTAATTTTGTAATTAAATTATTTTGTAAGAATGATAAATATTTCTAATACTTCACAAAATGGAACAGGAACTTACTGGATAAATAAGGTAATTGGGTTTTTTTTGTATTGTGCCTAGGAGGAGATACCAAGATTTTAAAAGGAAGCCTAAGAAACCAAGGACTGCATGGAACACCGGGTGTTATAAGAAAACAATGAATCATGGATCATTACATCAAAAACTAATGATGTATTGTATGGTGACTAACATAACATAATAAAATAAATAACAAAAAAGAAAAAAGAAAAAGAAACCAAGAAGGTTCACCAGGGGAACTAAAGAATATGAATATGGAAGCAATAATTTGCCATGAGTGAATAAGGGAATTACTGAAAATGAAAAGTTAGGGCAGAATTTTAAAGGCTGCTTTTTTTTTTTTTTTTTCCTATGGGTTCTTGATTCTGTAGAAGAAAGGAAGAACATACTGCATCAGTGTGACTGTTCTGGGATATGCTCAGGCTCCACAAATAATATTACTTGTTGATTGCATTTGGCAAAAGCAAAATATAGGGAAAAATAAAGCAATGTAAGGATCAGAATGGATGCATTGTTAACCAATTTTATTATGTACAAATTTTGTACTTCTTAGTGCATGGCCCTGAAATTCATATAGAAAGAATCTTCCAGCAACCTAACCCTCTTTAAATCCAAGTCAGTCGGTGGCCAAGCCAGAATGGTCATTAGATACCTCAATAAAAACCCTGCTTCAAGTCATCCTATAAGAATCTATGGTCGACCCAACATTTTATAGAAAGCTATTTGAGGAAAACAGGCCATTCTTTAACATCAGTTTGATGTGATAATTTATGGTCACTCTAAATATTCCATATTACAGAATTCCCCTACCCCTAAAAAAACCAGGTCCTACGAAATTTCATACTAATCATCCAATATGGGTCCACATATAAAATTTCTACCCACTATTTGGAGGGAAGAGGGACCTTAATTTTCTATGGGTTACTTCTCAGATACATGGAAGAAAACAAAACCACTAAGAATAAATTCCCTTAAGAAACTTGCTTCTCTTTCGGGCTATGGAATGGGGTTAAGCATTATTTTTCAGTTTTACAAATGTTAGCCATACTGAATCCATTTGGTGGTCCGACTATATTCTACAAAAACAAAGAAACAGAAAAAAATATACAATCAAAACCAAAAGTGCTATTGGAGGGGTCAGCATAGCTGAAGAACTGTTATTTTTATTTATTCTAGAGAGAGTTGTATTCATTGTAATACTTCTAAACAGGAAGGATTTGGAGTCGGTTTCACTTCAGAAAAACACATATCTGAAATGTAGCCAAGTTTCTAGACTTGGACAAGATAAATACCAAGAGAACACACTTTTGTTGTTGAATATGGATGACTGCCATCCTATTCTAATAAAGAATTGAAACCTGGGAGATTTTCCTGCCATGTACCCCCCTCAGTGACCATGACAGCAGTTTGCGTGTGGACAGTGGTAAAGCATGTTGTAGTTCTGGTATTTTTCTGACTTGTTGCTGTCTGTTGACCTGCCACATTCCTTAAGAGGATTAGCGTGCACGTGCAAAGTACAGTACAATGTTGGAGTCTGAGCTGATTAAAAAAGCACCAATATGCTTCCACTATTCAAGAAACCTTCAGGTTCTTCATGACACATATGAGAAAAGATGAAAGTTCACTTTCTTAGAAAAATAAACACTCCCTATATAAATAAACAAAGACCTCTATAGCAGTGTAAATTGTTTGTGAAAATGGTTTTACTCGGGAAGAAACAAAGAAAGGATTAACTTGTTACCAGATTAAACAGTTGCTACTGTACATATCTTCTTTCTTTTAATCTATACCAAGAAATTCAAGCTCAAATATTTGGCAATTTAAGTATTACATAGTATTTAGAGGTTTTGCTTTGTTGTCAAATCTGCTAAACATTTCTTAGGAAGGACATAAAAAGCAAAACCATAAAAGAAGACAACAATAAAAAAAAGATACATTAGAATTAAGCAAAACTGAAGACCTCTGCCCTCTATAAGATGCTGTTACAAAATGAAAAGACAAGTCATAAATGGTGATATCTTCAGTATTTGTCAAATATATTTGACAAAGCACTTGTATCAATAATATATAAAGAGTCCTTAAAAGTCAGTGATTCAGTGAGGAAACAAACCCAGTTTTTCAACAATGTACAAAAAATTTTAAAAGACAATTCAGAAAAGATAATTCACAAGTGACAAATACGGGCATGAAAATATATTCAACATCATTACTCATCTGAGAAATGCAAATCAAAACGTAAGTAAGATAATTAAAATCTACTAAAATGACTAAAATCTTAAAAATTGACAACAACATGTGTGAGTAAGAATGTGAAACAACTGGATTTTTCATACATTGCTGATGAGATTACAAAATAGTATAAACGCTTAGGAAAAATAATTTGGTAGTTTCTTATAATGTTAAATATATAGGTATGATAACATCTAACTCAGCCTGAACTAATTTGAACCTCTTTGGGTTTTACATAAAAATAAGTTGTGAGGAGCTCAACTGAAAGATGACTTTGTCTCATAACGAGACAATAACAATGAAATCAGCATAATGAGATAAACTGAGAATATTGTTTGAAGACAAATGTGACAGAACTACTATTTGTTTAGAAAATGACCTCATGTATTTTTGCATAGTTCTCTAGGTATTCTTTTGACAAAGACTAATGGGATTGATCTTATTTATCAGAATAAACAGAAGTAGTCCTACTCCCAAATCTATAACTTGTTTATGATCTTTGCCAGGTTGCTTAATTCTCTGGCCACGAGTAAAACAAAAATGTTAACTTCTTTCTTATCTTCCTTGTGGTAGTTGTAAAGGTAAAATGACGTATGCATATGTAAGTTTTTGAAAATTGTGAAACACTGATTGAATGTAATCAATTATACTCAAACAGCTATTAATTTTATCAAGTTATTCGTATCATTACTATGTATAGTAAAAGGTCTAAAATGATTGAACCCGATTTTCTCTCATCAATCCTTAGGTAATAAACGTCATAATGACTAAATAGTTCAATTTGTAGAAATAAAAGAGGAATTGATATTACATATATGATTATAAAAATGTTTGTTTTGACTTTATTTCAGTCCCCCTGTAAAATAATTCTGTGTAGGGTAAAGTTGCAAAGATTATTGAAAATTTGTTTTATTTAAGTGCTTCAGGACTTTTTCTTTAAAACCTGATGTTCTTATTATATAACTACTTCCCTTGGTTGAAAGAGGTAATAGTCATTATAATACTGCTTTCAAGTTCTATAATATATACCATATGAAAAAACAGGATGTTCAAACAAAATTCTTCCCAAGAGGTGATTGTTAGATGACTCTTTTTGAAATCATGCTTCAATATTTATCCATAAGCTTCAGAGAAAAATTTGGCACATTTATTAAAATCAGTGGGAGAGGGTCACCTAATTTTAGATATGCTGAACTAGACTTTGTAGTTTGCCAATTGTATTAAATCATAATTAGTAAAAATAACAAGAGACCTGCTTTAATGTTTTAAGAAATCCAGTGACCCACAAATGCTGAAATAACAAAACTGGAGATTGAACATTAAAATGGTTCTCAAGTTATAACAATGAATTAGAAGTTAAGTGTTCAGTTTTTACTCAAATTGAAACTCTTCAGCTGCTATTAGAGACTAATTTTTGTACAGTTTCCAGCTAAGGAGTTTTGAAAAACCCAGGGCACATTATTATCTATAAATTCAACACTAATGACTTTTTGACATAATGAATATATGCAGCATAAAAATCTTCTCTTGTTGTACACTTGAAACTAATGAACATTGTGTGTCAACTCAAACACCAAACACATATGATATCCTTCCAATTGTATCTCTTCAAATTGCCATTTCTTCTTACACTCCAAAGATAGGGATAGGGTCCTACTTATCTTTGTGTCACTATCCCTAGAAAAAAAATCAACAATTGTCATATTCCCAAGTGCATAATATTTGAGTCAACAGCCATTCTGAGCTTGAAGGCTCATCTTTAAATATCTAACATACACTATCTAATTTTATCCTCATATAAACACCATAAATTATTTATTAGTTCTGTAGTTCACTTATGACATCAAGTAAACATGACTGATAATATGTACTCCAAGTTCAACTGCAAATTTAACATCTATATTTCTTTAAGTCAATACAATTGGCATTGCAGAAAATATGATTCTGAGAATAAGTTTGAGAAATTATTGCAGAAAGCAGAGAAAAAGCATGACAAAGATCGAATGATAGAAGATTTTACAAGAGTAAGGGAACAAAGACTGGTTTTAAGAAATGTAAGTGACCCTGATATATTTTTTTTTAAGTGACCCTGATTTAGAAACAAAAGCAAGAAAAAGAAGCAATAATCTGAAATAACTGAAGAAAATCTTTTCCAGATTAAAAACTACGAATTGATATAATATGTATATCATATCAATAGTAACATAACTCAATTGAAGCATTTACTGTGTTCTATACAAACACCTATAAAGTATACTCTTTCTAAAATAATTCTTTGATAAAAATGAATCATGAGGGAAATATAAAAAAAAATCCTATGAAAATCTAGAGAGGAAATAATAAATTTTGTCCAAAGGAGCAATATTCTTATTGGTTTCAGCTACCTCCCTTCCAACATTAAATTTAAGAAGATATATGGCAATCATTAAAGGATTTGGAGAAGAAAGGGTTTTATACATGACTGCTAAAAAAAAGTCTATGTATTCACTAAATAGGTCCCTCTTTTGTGCACCAGCTATGTTTCCAGACTCTCTCTTGGTTATACTGGGGACATACGACTGAATTCCAGTCAGTAGAAGGTGGAAGAAATTTATATAAGGTAATTCTGGCTCATAAAAACCTCCTATGGAATCAGTCAGTCCTCTCCTGCTTTCTGCAGCAAACTGAAAATCTGCTCATATGACTCAGCTACTGATTTGAAGAGCCTCAGCATCCCTGAATCACTGCAAAGGGAAAAACAGAGCTGCAATTGTACTGTGATGTTGAAAGGAATAAACGTGCTGTATTAGTGTCTTATTGCTGCTGTAACAAATTGCCATAAATCTCATGGCTTAAAAAATAAAATTATCTAACAGCTCTGGAGGCCAGACATCTAAATGGTTCTCACAGAACTAAAATCAAGATGTTGGTCCATCTGCACTCCTTCTGAAGACGTTAGGGGACAATTCATTCCTTGCTTTTTCCAGCTTCTAGAGGCTGCCCATGTTTCTTAGCTCATGGTCACCTCACCCCACCTTCTGCTTCTCTCATCACATCTCTTTCTTGACTCTGACCCTCCTGCCTCTCTCCTATAAGGACTCTCATGATTAGTCCTGGATAATCTTTCCATATCAAGAGTCTTCACTTAATCATATCTGAAGATTCCCTTCCGCCATGTTAACATATACAACAGGTTTTGGGAATTAGAATATGGACATCTTGAGGGGCCACTATTCTGCCTACCAAACTTGGATTTATACAATCACTAAGATTTGAGAGCATATTTGCTACTCTAGATTTGGGGCATATTTGCATAGCCTCACCTATTAAGACTAATGAACAAAACAAGTTTTTCTCTAGCAAAATGTTAATATGGGAACAGATAAGTAATGCTGCAACTATGTCATGCATATTCCCTCTCTTTAAAACTATTGAAAATATACTCTTTTATTTGAGATATAAAACAAACTTTCCAATTCAAGACTGTGGCCGTGACTGAAACTGACTTTCTTTATCAGGCACTGACCTCAAATAACAATTTGTACGCTGTGTCTCGGCCGACTGTTACTCTTCCACCTCTGTTTCATTCCCCAAACCAGAAATCTGCCTGCTAGGATACATCCTTCTGTTCATAATTTATTCTACATTTTTTGTTTTGACATCTATGAAAAAACAAGCTGGTACTGTCCTATAACCCATAATTGCTAAATCTGGTTCAGACTTTCACATGAGTAGGACATTCTTATTGAAGAATTTCTAAATTAAAAAACAAATTTCTTTCCTCACAGAATTCAATGAGGAAACATTATAACTACCTTCTTTGTCAAAGAAACTGCGTGATAATATTCTACATGTTTAAATCCTATGGTAAATCTCTTGCTTCATATGGTAAATGACTGTTTCATTCTAGCTTTCTGGCAGTTACCATGTGTCCTTTTGTTAATTCTCTTTCCATATATTTTCTTCTGTTACCGTATTCGTCAGAGCAGTTTGACGGCCTTAGCAAACAATTCCTATTTTTACTGGCTTAAAACAATATAACTTTTTGTCTGTTCATGTCATGTTCCAAAGCAGGTTGGCACTCTGGGAGGCTGTATTAGTCAGCTCAGGTTGCCATAGCAAGTACCTTAGATTGGGTGGCTTAAACAACAGAAATTTATTTTCTCAAAGTTCTGGAGCTTTTAATTCTGTGATTGAAGTTCTGGCTGATTCGAGCTCTGGGAAGAGATTTCTTCCTGGCTTACAGACGGCTGCCTTCTCATTGTGTCCTCACATGACAGAAAAAGAACTCTGACTTTTCCTCTTCTTATAAAACCAACAATCTTACTGGTGACAATTGTCCACATTTATCCTTAATTACCTTTTGAAAACCCTATCTCCAAATATAGTCACGTTGGAAATTAAGGCTTCAACATATGAATTTGGGGAAACACAATCTATGACATAACATTTTATTCCTGTCCCCCAAAATTCATGTCTTTCTTGCACAGAAAATATATTCATTCCACCCTAACAGCTCCCAACAACTTAATGGATTGCAGTATCAATTCTGAAGTCTAAAGTCCAAATTGCTGTCAAAATATCACCTAAATCAGGTATGGATGAGACTCAAGGTAGGATTCATCCTGAAGCAAAATATGTCTTCAGCTGTGAACATGTGAAAGCAGACAAGTTATGTGCCTCCAGAATACAGTGGTGAGACAGGTAAAGGATAGACATTCCCATTTCAAAAGGGAGAAACTGGAAAGAAAAATGAGGTGATGGGTCTCAAGTAAGTCCAAAACCTTACAAGGTAAATTCCATTAGATCCTAAGGCTTAAGAACAACCCATTTTGGCTAAATACCCAGTTCTCCCAAGCCACTGAGGCAGTGGTGTTATCTACAGAAACCATGGGGCCAGGGGTTAGTTGCTGGGGTCTCTGCCTTGTGGGGGCATGCCCTCAAAGCTCTATGGAAGCCCCACCTCCAAGGATTTGCAGGGTGGTCCAACCCCAAAGGCTGCAGTTAAAGGCCATGTGGCCTGTTAATACTGAAGCAATGGTCCCACCCTTTGGAACTCAGAGGATAGACTTGATGATCTCCAAATTTCCTTTAGGGTCACTCTTCCCTTTTTTGAAGAATAGTGCACATCCACAGTCAAATAACTCTTTGGTCCAATCCTGTAGGATCTAAAAAGTCCAATGGCTTTCCTTCATTTTGTCTCACATTTTCTGTCCGCTTCAACCCCAACTGGCGGTGACTGAACCAGTATAATCCCATCTCTATTCCTGGCTTCTTACCGAGATGGCTGAGTAAGTCCATGAGTCACACACATAATCGCTTTATCAAATGGTTGTTTGGCCACACCCTTAGTGTTCTCAGAACAAGCCTTCTCATTTTTTGAATATTTATAGATTGAGAGTGTTCCAAATTTCCAAGTTCTGGTCCCTTTTTGCCTAACAATTTTTTTCCACAAGTCATCTCTCTTCTTTCGCATTTTACTATAAGCGGTAAGGAAGATCCAAGCCGCACCTTCAATACTTGCTTAGAAATCTCCTCTGCTAACCATCCAATTTTATGGCTTCTACTTTCTGCAAAACACTTGATCACAATTCAGCCAAGTTCCTTGCCAATTTAGAACAAGGATCACTTTTCCTGAAATTTCTAATAACCTATTCCTCACTTTTTTTTTCCCAAGACTTCACAAGAATGGTGTTTAATATCCGTATTTCTACCAACATTCTGCTCATAATAATCCAGGCTTTTTCTAGCATGCACTTCAAAACTCCTCGAGCATCTACCCATTATTCAGTTCCAAATTGATACAACAAGTACCACAGACTGTGCAATAGACTCTTGTGTCACCTCAAATTGCATGTGTTGAAATCTTACCCCCCCCCCAGGATGCTGGTATAAGAGATGGGGCCTTTGGGAGGTGACTAGTTTGTGAGTGTGGAGGCTTCATGAATGGGTTTAGTGCCCTTATAAGAGGGACCCCAAAGAGCTCTCTCACCCTTTCTACCATGTGAGGATTCAAGAGGTCTATAACCCAGAGGAGGGCTCTCATCAGAACCTACCCAGGCTAGTACCCTGATCTCAGATTCCCAGTCTCCAGAACTATCAGAAATAAATTTCTCTGGTACCATGGTATCCATGGTTTTTTTTTTTGTTTACCTGGCTTGCCCATCTCTGGGACTTCTCTCCCCAACCACGGTCTTCTTGCCAATACATTTCTGGTAAAAAAAAAAAGTATCACTTTAGCTTGTACTGGAGTGAGCTGCAACATTGACATTTTGGCTCTTCTGCAAGAGTCGGGTTTAGTGCTAGATCAGGTATTATGAAGGCACTGTAAGCTGTTTCTTTGCTTTAAAAGTGTTATTGTATGTTCAAATTTATTTAACTCTGTTTAAAAGAGAAAAGTTACTTTATGACATTTGATTTTAACTTAAGTACAAATAGTATTTATAATTCATTGTGGATATAATTTGATATTACTAGAGGGTCCTGCGATTCTATGTAAAAATGCATTTAAAGTTCTCATTAAATACAAAAGCAGGCGCCTGGGTGGCTCAGTTGGTTAAGCGACTGCCTTAGGCTCAGGTCATGATCCTGGAGTCCTGGGATCGAGTCCCGCATCGGGCTCCCTGCTCGGCAGGGAGTCTGCTTTTCCCTCTGACCCTCCTCCCTCTCATGCTCTCTCTCTCTCATTCTCTCTGTCTCAAATAAATAAATAAAATCTTTAAAAAATAAATAAATAAATAAATAAATAAATAAATAAATAAATAAATACAAAAGCGACATTATCAACCTAAAGAACACATCTTTTTTATGCATTTTGGACTTTTGCCTACACAGGGCCAGTATAAATTATCCAGGAAGTGTTTCCACAGTATTAATATGTTCTCAAAGAAGGTTTAACTTAATCCAATTGGGATATCAAAATTTACATGTCATTTAAAAAAAAATATCTCCCCCAAAATATTAATATTAAATTAGTATATTGTATCAAATAGGACCCTCATATTAGGTGTCAAAGTAAAAATACATGTATACATGTAGTTTTATATTTTTTTTACTTTATCTTTTGTCAAATATATTTCCATATATCTTTTATATATGGTAAAAGAGAAAGTGAGGCACATTAAAATTTTGAAAGTTTATTTGAGCATACATTGATTCGAATAAGCCAGCACCGAACCAAAGGGAGCTAGGAGCATTCCACTGATGGGAGCCAAAGACAAGGTTTTTATACAGAAGAAACTGAAGCAAAGCAAGGGAATGATTTGATTGGCTATAGCTTAAGCCTTTGTCTCATTTGGGAAAACCTATTTCACCGCTTGTGATTATTTTTTCTAAGTTTCATTGTCTCAGAATCCAGCGCATTGACCCTGGCTTAGGTTTTGGTTTGCTTACATGGGCTACTAAGGCATAAGAACCACTTCAGTCTAGGGGCACCTGGGTGGCTCAGTCGTTAAGCGTCTGCCTTCAGCTCAGGTCATGATCCCAGGGTCCTGGGATTGAGCCCCGCATCGGGCTCCCTGCTCGACGGGAAGCCTGCTTCTCCCTCTCCCACTCCCCCTGCTTGTGGTTCCCTCTCTCGCTGTGTCTCTCTCTATCAAATAAATAAAATCTTTAAAAAAAAAAACAAAAACACTTCAGTCTAATTGCTTCCTTGTTTGATTACTTTAACATATATAAATGTATAATTATATAAAATCTTAAATTCCAACATTAATCAGAGTTAATTATATCTTCCTACAATTACTATAAAGTCATCAATAAAAGCTTTCCCCAGTCACATGGCTTGGAAAGGCACCTCAGGGATGTGTATGTGTGTGTGTGTGTGTTGCATTGGAAATTATTCCTATAGCTAATTTATCAATAGAGCAAGAATTTTTATGTTTGTTGCATACAAACATAGTAAAAGTTTGTATTTTGTATTTATATCAGGCCTTATATAGATGAATAATTCAAACTCACCATCACATTTACTTCTCTCAATCATCCTGAGAGGCACAAATAGCAAGTAGTATTTTTTTTCTACATAAGGAAGCAGTTTCATAGTAGTTCAATGATTTATGCAAAACCATCCCATTACACCTGGTGGGTTGAGAAAGAGGGAGGATAGCTGGACCGTCTTCTCTGAGATCCATACCCTTCCTTCTGTTTTGCTGCATTTTACAGGAAACCCCATTGGGTGAGGGTGGGGAGCCCTTGCCCTCTGGCTTCCAGGTGGGGGCTGCCGTGGGAGACTGGAACCAGTGATGAATGGTAGAGGAAGGAGAAGCAGGCTCTTCCCTGTTCTCTGTGCTCCTGTGGTGTCTCTGGTTGTAGTTGGTTCCTCGGAGGCTGCAGCCTCCGCGACGGAAAATAGAAATCCGTCACGAATGCAACAGCTGTGAGGCAGCCCTGACTTCTGGACTCTGGTAACGCCACCTGTTTCTATTGCCCTTCCAGTCCGAGGGTGACAACAGCTTCCTGCTGTCGTTAATTTCTGGGTGGCCTCACTTGCAGCTTTAACCATTTTCCTGTATCAATTAACCTAACATAGTTTGGTTTTTCTGCCTAGATCCTAATGGCCATCTGAGAAATACCAACAATGATTTCAACTGTGAAAGTATTCATCTCAACCCAGTTTTTCTGTTTCATGAAATAATACCCTTTGCTTAAAATGAGGAATAGCTATATTTACTGTTCATTATGTATTATTGATATAAACCGTTCGGACTTATTGCTCCTGTTTTTGAGTTCCTAAAAGTGTTTTCTATTACACCCCTTTGATTAAGATAAGGCACTTTGTGTAAAAACAAAACAAACAACAAAAAAATTGTGTCATGATTAAGGTCAAGGAGTTAATGTAATCCTTGCTCTGCCTTTCAGAAGCTGTAGGACCTTGAATTACTTTGTCCCTGGGCCTGGGTTTACAGGGATAAGCCTGAGCCTGATTCATAAGCACTAATAAAAAGTAACAATTTTTAAAGATTTTATTTATTTATTTATTTGTTTGTTTGTTTATTTGAGAGAGTGAGAGAGCACAAGCAGGGGAAGCAGCAGGCAGAGGGAGAGGGAGAAGCAGGCTCCCTGCTGAGCAGAGAGCCCGATGCGGGCCTCGATCCCAGGACCCTGGTGGGCAAGGGACAGGTGAGACTAGGTAGGGAGAGATAGACAGGGGGCTACGTGATCAGGCTCACTGAAATCCCAAAAATGTGGAGGTGTGGGAAACCAGAGATAAGGGGACAAATCAGACCACCCTACCCTAGGACCACCTTACCCTAGGCATGTGGGGTGGGTCGTGTGGGGTGTTTGTCTTTATGATAATCACCTGTGACCAACAAGGAATAACAGACCCTAAAAAAGAAGTAAGCCATTGATGGTGTTATCACTAGTCCTTGCTCAATGGTAATATCAGTAGAAATGTTAAAAGGATTTAAGTTCCCTGGTTAGCTTTCTATAGAAGACCAGCCCTAAAGGCCCTCATGGGCAACCCTGTTGGGACCCCTTTCACTCTTAGCTTTTTCTGTAACTTCACTTAATAAACTTTATCGCTTTACTCACTCTGTTGTCCTCGAGATTCATTCTTTGACTCCACAAGACAAGAACCTAGCTCTCCCACATCACTGGGATTATGACCTAAGCCAAAGGCAGATGCTTAACCGACTGAGCCACCCAGGCGCCCCAATAAGTAACAATTTTTAAGGTTTAATTCGAGAATTCAGAGTAAAGCAAAATTATTGTAATTGACATAAATACAAATGTAAAACTATTTATTTTGGATTGTGAAAATTTCCAAATCATTTGTATACCTATGTGTATGTATATAGTGTGAATATATAGTTGTATATCATATGTATATATATGTAACACATCTTTTTTATGCATTTTGGACTTTTGCCTACACAGGGCCAGTATAAATATATATATGCAATATCATTGCACAGTGCAATTGAAATACACTTTTCTAAGATTTTTAGATTTTAAACTTCAGGAACTTAAGAAAAAAATATGAGTCTATACTTTTAATGCTTTAAAAATATACATTTTTTGATTATAACAAATTAATTTCAAAATGTTTGTAAGGAAGCATTTTGCAACTGAAAAATGTATTCTTAAGACTGTATTTTTAAAAAATCCAGCAAAAGATCTAATTACCCTGGATCTACATGCTAAGGTCTAAAGATAATGTAGAAAACTATTTGGGAAATGTAAGATAAATTAGATAATTTTTGTAATGTAACTAGTTTTAGAGATAACCTAAATTATAGCAGAATGGTCCTGATTCAGTTATCTCTAAGATCCTAATTTATTTATCTGTTCCAGTATTGTGTCCTTAAGGATCCTTTTACAATCACCCGCAGAAGTTTCTTTTAAAAAATGCTGATGATGTATCTGAGGAAGGATGACTTCTATCTAAGTTTTGAAAGAAAGAAAAGTCCCAAAGCAAAAAGCAAGAAGCAGAGTAAAACAGAGGTTTGGGGGAGAAGTCTACAGATAGAATTAGATAGAAACAAATTCTATTTTTCCTGTGTCAAACATGAAAGAAAATACAAATGATGAAGACAACGATCTCCCTAACTATGAAAAATCATTGAAATTTCAGGAACTATTACAAAAAGCAAATTTCAAGCTCTGAATGACAAAAAAATTAGTGGTCAGTGGGGACCTTAAATTAGTGAAGGATCCATTTATTCCAGCTACAGCTGACTTCCATATTGTAGAAACTTACTATTCATTCCAAATATACATTATTCTAAAAATCAGATTTCAAAATTTAGCCAAAATGGAACTCGAAAGAACATTATGTAACATCACTTCTTGTTTCAATTCCCTCAAGAATCCCTAGGCTCTGTATCAGTAAAGGCTACATATGTGGGATAAGGTTTTGAATGTATACAAAACACAAACGTTCACTGTAACAATAGAAATCCTTGATTTGCCCTTTTATTATGTACCCACTGCATTTATGAAGATCTATAACGGAGCTCTGTAAATCATCCAACAAACTCCAAGGGTAGGAGTCTTTGTGGAATTCAAGATGTTAATATTTCCTTTCTAACCAAATTAACTCCACATGTTTTCTGCTGCAACTAATCTCTTTCCTGTGGAATTAGGCATGGTCTGACTCATTCTTTATTTTTTGAACATGACAATTTACTCCAGAGTAGCTCTCATGTCACATAGCCTCAAGCTCCCAGCCATTGCTGGATAAACAGCATCCTTGCTGATCTTTGTAGCAAAGGTGTGGAATTATGGGAAACATCCTTACACCACTAGTGTACCAATCATCTCCTAAATGGCATGCTTTAGTTAGCATGTGTCTGGGGGAAATAATTTCTTAAGTGTTTACAGAAATTTCAGATGCATGAAGTACCCGCAAACATATCTGAAAATAACAAGACTTATATTAATTGATAATGTCTTAAATGTCAGACCTTTATCTCTACTTACAATATTGCTAACCCTAACAAGTTAAGGTGGATAATATAACTCCCATTTTGAACATGAGGAGACACAGTCACACACCTAATAAGTAATCGAGCAGAGATTCAAACCAACTATCCTGGCTCCAAAGTCAATGGCTTCGAGATGCAGCATATCCATCATTTGCTTCTCAAAATGGCTTATGCAGAGGCAGAGTAGAGATCACTGTGACTACTTAGATTTATGAACCAACGCTCAGAAAGGTGAAGTGACTACTAGGGCCTCAAATCTTAGAGGTAGAGTCTGGACTACAATGCCCAGTCCCGTGTTTGTTCTCCTCCATCACTTAATTCACTTAGAGAATTTAGCCAAAGTCCCCTCAGACAGAGCCTCCTTAGGTAGAATGGAAGGATAAATGGTAAGGGGAGAAAAAGGAGACAGGTAAGAACTGAAGCGTGAATACTTGAAGAGCAGAATCCGCAAGCAATCTGCCTCTGTACCCATAACACCTAGCATGATGTCTTGAACATAGTGATAGTAGGTATTTAATAACAATAAATAAATAGATAAGTAAACAAAGTGAATAAAAATAATAAAAGAACTATTGGTGGATTTGGGTTTTTGTTTTTTGTTTTGTTTTGTTTTGGTTTGGTTTGGTTGGTTGGTTGGTTTGCACACTAAAGAGCTTGCTATATGTTATAAGGATTATCTGACTGGGTATCTGGACAGTTTGATTGAGTCCTATCCCTCCTCTCATTTAAGCTGTTCTAGGAAATTGTCTTCATCTCTGGGCTTGATTTCCATCATGCATATAATAAAGGGGTTACATTAAGTTTTCAAATGTTTTCAAACCAAAGTGCACCATCCGTGGATAATCCACAAATGGGGGATTAACCTGTTCTTCAGAGGCCTTTCCACTGTAGGACAAGATCTGGTCATAGAATTTCTGGCCATAGGAGGATATCCATTGTATTATGTGTGTGAGCTCAAAGGTTTTCAGTAGCCTGGTGGAAGACAGCAATAAAACGTCCCATGCCCTTGATGTTTACAGAACACCTATATGTTTTGTCACCCATTCTTTCTTTCAGCAAGCAATTGTTAAAGGGCCTTTATATTAAAGTGCTGTATTAGCAAGACATTCAAAACAATAATAACTGGTCTTCTCATTGGGTTACATATGAGGTGCCAGGGAGAGAAAAGGGAGTGCTTAACGGGATTTCTCAGTGAATTGGAAAAGTTAACATTTGAACTTGAAGGGAGAGTAGGAGATAATGGAACAGCAAAGATACAGAGCTGCCCTGGCCAAGGAAATAGCATGACATGATGTGTTTGGGGCACAGCCAATGTGGAGAGGATCAAGAGAATGGAGGCAGATGAGCTGAGCCCTGCAGGGCCTTGCATACCAATCTAAGTTGTCCTATTATCTTGTGGATTATAAGCTATCACTTAAAAACTTTCTCAAGGAGAGTGACATAATTAAATTTACATTTGAAAAATCAATATGGCAGCCAGTGGAGGGGAAAGAGGATGCATGGATAGAAAAGAGCCCAGTGACTGCAATGAACAAAGCAAGAAAGACTGAAGACCTGAACCGGGATTGTCTTTTTAAGGATGAGGTGTTACGTGACATTGTGCCGCACTCAACACAATTCAAGTTTCTTGTCATTGCCATCCAAAGAATAACTTAGTATGATTTATATTGAAAGAAATTTTATCCAAAAAAATCAAATGTGAGAAAAGCCAAAAATGTGACTAAATAAAAACTAATACAATTACACTAATCCTTTGAGACAATACTGCTATATTGTCTTCTTGATGACATGGATGCAGATGTTCTAAAGTAGAATGAGACGTACTAGAACCCTATATTGGCAAGGTACAAACTCAGCGGTATTACACTACTCTAAAAACAGACTTTCAGGTCACTCCTTATTTGTTGGCTTTCATGTCCTATTTGATTTGCTTGACTTGGAAGAAATCAAATATTCAGCCTATCACTGTAGATTTTTTACTGCAAATGTTTCAGTTCAATTTACTAAATTATTAGATTTTGCTCAAAAATTATCTGAACGTATTTTTACTTTAAATTTAAAATTCTTTGTTTTCTAATTCATGCTTAAACCTTCACCCACTGCCTCTTCCCTCTTTCTCCCTCCCTCTCTCTCCCCCTCTCTCTCTCTCCACCAAGACCAAGGTTTATATTTCACTGCTTTTCTGCCATGGATCAGAATCTCCAAAACAGGTACATAAATCATAAATCTAGAGCCTGCCTTAACCTCTGATTTTTTCCACTTCCACTAATACCCTTAGTGGTTATTCCAGAGCTGCCATGGGCACCCCAAAAATCCATTTTAACTTCCCTTATTTGAGATCATAATGACCAAGATCAGAGCAACCATGCATGATGAACAATCCAATAATTAAAATGTAAAAGGTACTGTCATCAGAAATACAAGAAAAAATAATTCAAAGTGAGAGAAAAAGCAGGAAAGTAAGATATAAGAAGTGATTGTATCTATCATGAAGTAGTTGTTTGTGCCAGAAAAAAAAATAAAATACAACATTGCAGGTCACTCTTTTGCCTACAATACAATCATTTCTGTAAATATGTGTTTTGACATATATAGTTCAACTACATATAATGGATTAGGAGAAAAAAGGAGTAGATTTCTAAGTACAGACTGGCAGCCATGAATTCCCTAAATGGAGAGTACATTGGGAAAAAGAAAAGTTCTAATACTAAAAAGAGTGTTGTGGTCTATAACTAATATTTTATTATATTTCTCTTATTCTATTTCCAGTTTTAGTAAGTTTAGATGGAACATGATTTTAAAAATATGCATATTATACTTTTAAAAGTTATTTTATCAATAAATACTTCTTATCTAGTTAATTTTTCCCCACTTTCTTCCTGACCAAACTTTTAAATAATTTTATTCATTTCTCTCTTTGGGGTTCACATTTTAGATGCCTTTGATCAACAATTTCCCCAAAACATTCATAGGTATATGTAAATTCTTCAAACACTACACCAGCTTCCAAAATCTTCCATAAATGCCCTGCAGGCTACTTTCATCCTTCCACTAATGAGATTCACAGATTTTGAAAAGACAGTCCGGTTGGTACTAACACAAACCTAAATAAAGAGAGCTCCCTTCCAGTATTTCATCATATATGATGACTCTAAAATTACATATTTCTTTTTTACTAACTCTCATTTTACTTGGCAATGCCCAGATGATTTGATTTTTATTTCCCATCACAGGTAGACCTCTGATGGTATAACCGTATTTTAGGTTCGTCTCTCATTTGAAGTTGATTATTTTCATCAAGTAGTATGAATTCAATAGCTCTGAAGTCAAGGTAATGGATGAGTTTACTGAAAACACAACTGCGTCTCTCATTCTGCTAGCCAAAATATACTTGAAGATCATAAACATGAAACTCCAGACCTCAACCTGCTTCTGGGAAGGCAAGATGAATGTGCCCTTGGGAGTGCGACACTCAGAGATATGGTAAATTACCTTGTCGAAGCACTGGCCAAGAGGTACTGTGGGAAAGCTCCAGGAGCACTTGAGGTACGTGAGCTAATTTGTTTCCCAAGGGCTTGTCTCTCAATGGCTTGGCTGTGGGCCTGCTAAAGGGAAAAAGAAATTGTGTTTCTTAGCTCCTCTCAAAATTGCACATATTTCCACTTTTGAAATCTTGTTTTATTCCCATTCAGTGGTTATCAAAGTTACCAAAGCCAGATGACTATACAACTTACTGTGGGAAAACTGTTTAATTTACATTTATCATGCACATACAATGTCATGATTTTCTGTATTATATAGGCAGCCTACAGATGATTAGATCTTTAGGTGAAATGCGTGTGGGGTGTGTGTGTGTGTGTGTGTGTGTGTGTGTGTGTGACTGTCAATAATCAGCCATGTTCCATACAGGATAGATTTTTCGTATGATACAGTTTACTATTAAAGGAGACAGAAAAGTATTATGGAAGCCTATCCTTATTCTGAATACATAAATGAGGATCTACTATGTGTAACTCACTGTACTTATTAGATATTCCTGAACAGAGAGGTAAAATAAGTCATTTTTAGACCAAGTAAATTTAATATAACTTAGCACATTATTTTAAAGGGTTTTTGTTGTGTTTTTTGGAGAAAGGATTTATATTATATGTATTTTTAGAAAAGTGATTTTGACTTAAGGCCAACAATATACTTAACTTATATATAACGTAAGGTCATACACTCTACCATTTGTTTCTTTAATTGACTTCTAACTCTAGTTAAAAATAAAAAAATAAGTGTTCTCTTATAAGGACATCTAAAAATGCTTAGGGATGGTCCAAAATTCTCAAATGTGTTTATAAGTTTGGTCTTACAAGAGATATGAAGTAATCACAACAATTTTCACCATTCATACATCTGACATTGAATCACATACTAATCAGACCCCTGGCTGAGCTTTCATGTAATTGAGGGTTCAACTATTATGCAATAAGCTGGATTCTAAATCTTCTTTTTCCAACTTCTTCCCAACCAAAATATATTTAATATGTCATTTGTCTTTCATTATACCCAAGTTATTTTCTGAGCAAATTCACTGGTTGAACAATATTTCCACACTAAGGTGTTAATGATTTGAAGGCCAATGAAATATAAATTGAAAATAATTGAACCCTCAGCTACTGAGGAGAAGAAATATTTTAGAATTAAAGGATTTTTTTTTTTGGAGGGGGGTGATTCTTGATGCCCTGGAATTCCTATAATCTAATTGCCCACCTGTAAAAAAAAGATATCTTTCTCTGGTATGTGACAAGGAAAATTGAGTTTTGTTTTGGGACATATTTTCCTGTCTTCTTCCTGCGCCCCAAGAAAATTTTGTATATTTTAGGACTAGATTGCTTCTTTTTGCTATGTTTTCTAGCTTTAAAGAGATTTCAAATATGAAGTGTTCCCCGGAAGGAACAAAAATAATCCCAGTTCACAAAAGTCATACATTTGAGGATGGCAGTCAATAGGCAAAATTTCATCACATTGCAACTGCAGCGGATGGGGCATACTGTAGCTCATAATTATCTAGAACTCCAGGAGAAAAGGAACAACAGGAAGACAAAGATCAACCTTGGTTTCCTTATCTCAGGATGAAAAGTTTCTGTCAACATGATCCCAAATGGGACTTGATGGCCATGACCCATTTGTGCTGTGTTCCATGGTACCCAGAGGTGTGAACATCTGGTTCAGGGAAATCTTCCTAGAAGAGGGAAAAACCCCTGGGGAGCACATGAGCAAACTGGCTGCACATTGTACATCATAAGCATTCACTGAGAAATCTCTGAGAACATGCACAAACAATAAGGCTTAGATAAGGTTTTCATACTAGCAACAACTAAACGAATGCTTTTTCCTGGATAATATAAAATTTGAAACGAATCTATTTTCTTTTTTCTTCTTTGACTGCCAGAGAGCTCAGAAAGCTAAACCTGTAGACCTAATTTCAGTAACTATTTAGGAAATTATAGCATGTTTATATCCTTCCACAGACATTTCCTGATATGTTCTTTGTATCTTCTAACTCTATTTTCTATGGGCCTAAATTATTATTTTCTTTTTTTCCTTATTTTGTTTTATTACTTTATATCTAATGAATTGCTGCAATCTCTTTGAAGGATTGAAACAAGATATTCAAACCTATCTCGATCATTAACAAAATAAATACATAATAACAAAATTCTGCTACTGTCTTGCACTGCTTCTTTAGAACGACTCAAATTAAACTAAGAAGACTTGGTCAAATTAGCAATATTTTTGCAACAATAAAAACCAATTCTCTATATCCCATTAGTTGATCCTAACTATAGAGAGGAATATCCTAAAGTTGCTAAGCCCAGTTGTGATTAAGATCCTATATAATGGAAAGTACAGGACATAATTGGCTTTTTTTTCTCTTCCTCGACTATTCCAGTCAGTATTCCAGTATTTATATCCCAGTAATTATTACTTAATTCCTCCTGGGGAGACTTGGCTTTTGACCCCTCCCATGCAAAAATGACCAGACTGAGGATACAAAGATTTATTTTTTATTGTGTATTATAATTCAATATCTTATTATATATAATTATATTATACTACATTATATGTATTTAATGTATTTAATATAATGTATTTAGTATAATATAGTTAATATAACACTGTTAGTATAATTTACTTAGTATATATAATATATATCTTAAAATATATTAATAGAAAGATGGAAGTCAGTTTCTTCCTTGCAAATGTCTCTACTTACCTTGCATCCTTTAGATTTCTTGATTTCCTGCCCCCTTTTCCTCTCTCATTTTAACTCCAAAGCTTTAGTAAATAAACAGCATGATAAGGGAGATACTTATTATTGATGAGCATATTTTTTAGTTGAGTATGCCTTCAGGACAGTCACCAGACCAAAATATCTCATCACCAAGAATAGCCAAGTTGCTACCCAGAGCCAGGAAAACTGATACTGATTCACATGAGATAATGTTGCCTGGGCAAGGAAGAGAACTAGAAATCGCCCTCTGTACCTGAGCCAGCTTAGAGGCGGTGGTGTTTTGCCAGGAGCTAGCTCTGGAGTTGCACGTACCCCCATGCGAACCTCAACTCTGCTTCTCAACTTGGACAAACCCCTTATAGGGCCTCAATTTCCTTATCTCTAAATGAGTATAATGCTTTTTTAAGACATATAGTACATGCTCAATTAAATGCTACCTTTAAAAATGCTCTAAATACCTGAACAATATATTGTCAACATAACATACTTAGAATTAGGTCATCACTCATTAAATAAAGAGTATGTGTACAAGCACAGTACCAGCTGCCTGAGATATAAGAATGACACACCTGTCCTCAGGTGGCAAAAGCCAATATAGACATAGGCCTATAAATGCGTATCATACTTCTCATTAAGGGGTCTAAAGTATTTTAGAGGTCAGGGAGGAATTTTGATGGTATTACAATTACTTTGCAGTCAGGAGGTATTATGGCTATTTTATGTGTCAACCTAGCTGGCCACAGGGTGCCCAGATTAAACATTATCTCTGGGTGTTTTGTGAGAGTGTTTCCAGAAGAGATGAACATTTTTTTAAACTTTTTTTTTTTTTTTTTACGATTTTACTTATTTATTCGAGAGAGAGAGCGAGCGAGAACCAGTATAAGTGGGAGTGGTGTGGGAGAGGGGGAGGCAGAAGCAGACTCCCCACTGAGAAGGGAGCCCGAGGCCAAGGGGGTGGTGGGGGCTGGATCCCAGGACTCTGAGATCATGACCTGAGCTTAACCGACGGAGCCACCCGGGCGCGAACATTGGAATCAGTGAACTCAGAAGGTAGATTGCCCTCACCAGTGTAAGGTGGGCATGAATAGAACAGAAGGCAGAGGAAGGAGGAATTAATCCCCATTTTTTTGTGTGTTTCTCAGTCATTCAGCTGAAGTGTTCCTTCTCATCTCCTGCCCTCAGACGAGGATGTATACCGGTCAGCCTCCCCAGTTCTCGGGCCTTTCTGCCACAGAATGAATTACATCACCAAATGTCCTGGGTCTCCAACTTGCAGATGGAAAATCATGGGACTTCTCAGCCTCCATAATTGCATCAGCCAGTTCCTCATAAGCAATCTCCTATTGTTCCTCTTTCTCTGGAGAACCTGACCAATAGAGGAGGCCAGGAAAACTTAAATCCTATGTAACTCCCAACAATCTCTTCCACATGGTTATTAAGTAGGATAGCCAAGGATCAAAACAGAACAGGCGCAAGAGTGTCATGCTATTGGTTGCTGGAATCTCTAACTAATAACCCTGGTTAAAAGATAAGTGGGAGCTCCTGGGTTGGCTCAGTCAGTTAAGTGTCCAACTCTTGATTTTGGCTAGGTCATGATCTCAGGGTCATGGGATAGAGCCCCGCATCAGTTCTGTGCTCAGCATAGAGTCTGCTTGTCCCTCTCTGCCTCTCTCTCTCTCTCAAATACATAAATAAAAAAAAATCTTTAAAAAAAATAAAACATAAATGGAAGCTCCTGGCTTAGGCTTTAAGTCTGAAAGGAACTTTCTAAGCATCCTCATTACCCTAAGACCACCACATTAGAAATATTGAGATCATCAGGCTCTGGGGTACCTGCATGGGAGAGAAAGATACGGCTGGAGTCTATTTAACCACACATACACAGCATGAGAGTCAAAGAAAGACCACCAAAATTTAAGAGGAATCCCTGACTTAGCTTAACAATTCTGCAACATGATATAAAAAAGAAAAGGACAATGAGAAATCCTAGAGCCTGGACCCTTCACCTTGAAGCTATACACCATGATCGCACACATACTAAAAACTGCGTGCAATCCAAGTCTCCAGATTTGCATCAGATTAGTCTCTTTCCCTGGATGGAAGGTCGGGGGCAGGGAGAGAGGGCTGCTAAGGTAGACAGAGGGCTGCGAGCCTAGGTAGATCATGCATGAGGGTAAGTGGCTAAGTCTTTCCTCCAATAAGATACAAGGTTGTCGTAATTATCTTCCTGCATTACTGCCTAGGAATTTTAAAATTTGACCAGGAAGGTGCCTACAGAACTTGAAACCTTTTGAGTCTCATTACATGACAAAACTTGATTCTTAAAATGAATAACTACAAAAACTAGACAAAACATGTATCATAGTCCAGTGCAGCCTTTCATCCAAGCAGAGCCCTAGATGGGATCAGGAATGGCAGGGGAATCGATGGGACTAATCGTCGCTATCAGAAAGATTAAAATCATTCCAATATGACTGGAAAATACATCCACAAGGAATTGTAAAACACACTAAGTTTCAGTGTTGGAGACTGGGGGGCGGCGGGGGGCAGATACCAGAAGAGATCTCATCAGATGCTTTGCTGAAATGAAAGCGCAATATGTCTGTGGCATTACACTCCCAAAGCAGGAAACAATATCAGTTCCACGGATTTGGGGGGCCAAGGTGATGAGATGGGGTAGATTCCAGCTGCAGAGGAACACCAAGAAACTAGGTAACTAAGATTTCGGGGGGTGGTGTGAGGATAGGAGCCATAGGTCAGGCATCTGAAAAGTGACCAGAAAAACATGAATAAACTGTGACCAACGGATTCACCCCTTCAGGGACTGGCCCAACTTTCTCAGCCGGGGAAACCTGAAGCCTGCTCCAGAGCATCCCTGCAAGTTGCCTTCTAAAGATCCAGGTAACATGCTTTCCCTCCGCCACCACGTCCTCCTGGCCCCGCTGAGCCCTCGTGCGTGGCTTTTTCTGTTTTCTAGCTGCCAAAAACCCAGTAGTGATGAGTGCTTGTCATGCTGACGTAAATCCCTTGGCTCCATCTTTATCAGTTTATCTACTAACACTACCATCAGTCCCCTTCTCCCAAGGATGAATGCAGGCTGTCTTTATTTTATCTTTATTTTATTTTTAGAAGATTTGAGCTAGCTGGCTGTCATGTGGTCTAACATCAGTATTGCCTTAATTCCTGATTATTTACATATCCATGAATATAATGCATCTAATAATTTCATTGATGTCCATCCCCCCAGTGATCACAGTCTTCACTCTACTTTCATCGTTCATTCCCACTGATGATTCTGTACTTTGTTATTCCAGAATCTTCAGTGAAACTTTTTTTTTAAGGCTTTATTTATTTATTTATTTATGAGAGAGAGAGAGCACGAGCGGGAGGAGGGACAGAGGGAAAGGGAGAAACAGAATCCCCACTGAGCAGGGACCCCCCCCCCCCCAACGTGGCGTTCGGTCCCAGGACCCTGGGATCATGACCTGAGCTGAAGGCAGATGCTTAACCGACTGAGCCACCCAGGAAGCCCCTCAATGAAACTCTTTTAAGAAAAAAAAAAAAAAGATTATGAATAATGTGAATAGATGGAGTACATCTCTTTAATAATGTATTTTAATTTGAATTAAGAATTTTAATTTTAATTTAATTAAGAATCCATTTTCTCCCTAGTGAAAGAGATAAGCAAAGCGTAACTGTTAACATCATGTCTGCCTCCTTTCTGTCTGCTCTCATTTTTGTTGGTTTGTTGGTGTATATATACTGCTATACCAGCATTTTAGTTGTGCGGAGGGATACTCTATTCTGTCACAATAATTAATCTTTTCACTGGCTGAACCTCACCACCTGTCAGGTTTCTTAGTGTATTTGTTGACTTTTTCAGAAGAGATCTTTCATTCATTATTCTGTAAGTTATTTCAGGTTCTTCACAGTGTGGTGTAGTGGAAAGCATGCAGTTTCTTTAGCCAAACTACCCGGGTTCAAATCCAAGCTCTATTATTAACGAGATGTGAAATCTTGGACAAACTAAATAAACAACTTGCCTCAATTTCCTCAACTGTAAAATAGAGATATATTGCACCCCCTCCCTTTCATGGGATTATTGTGAGAATCTAGTATGGTAGTACCCATAAAGTGTGCTGGAAAGGGCTTAGCCCAGAGCAGGTACCCAGGGAGTGCTAGCTACTATTCTTAGCATGTCAGAGAATGTCTGCTTGTTGGCTTCATGCTTGAATGGTAACTTGGCTCCTGTGACATTTTTTGTTTATCCTTCCTTTATTTTCTCCATATCATTTTAGACAATGGCTCATTTTCTTTTGGTTCTCAATATAACTAAACAAATTTTTATTCCTTGAAGATGTCTTGTGTTTTTGCCTGGGTGTCTGAAGATTTTTTTTTTCTTTTTATCCTAGAAGTTTAATAAGTAGGCAGGATATGTGCAATATCAATCAAATTTTATTCATGTTTTCTGGAATATTATGGTCCCTGTTGACCTGAAAAATCAGTTCTCCTTAAATGTAAGGGAAAGTTTTTTCTATCATATTTTTTAGGTTTTTTTCCCTTAAATGTGCTTTGTTTTTTGTTTGTCAGAAATGAATAGTTACACGCATTATAAACAAGCTACTGAGATTAACAAATAAATATCATCGTGCATTGTCACTATCTCATCTATGGAAGATTTACTTTATAAAGAGTAAAAAGGGATACATATTTCCCTAATCAGAATTCAAAAAAGATTCTGGAACTCATTAACTGTTATCTTTATGAGGATCTAGTTAGTTATTTGGGACCAACACTGCTAGTGTCCTGCCTAATATCCATTCTTCATTTCTTTTTTTATTCCACTTTTCCGTGAGATGACAACATGGTCAGTTTAAAATACTTAGCTTTATAGAAGTCGGTTCCACTAAGAGAGCCACGTGTCATGCTTCTGGCCAATGAGATTTAAGGGGAAGTCCTTGAGCTTGACAGAACAAGGACTGTCACAAGATGCTGAGGTAGAGAAGCTTGAGGTTACAGGCCACATGTTTAGGGCTGACAAGAAGACTAGAAGGATCAGAGATACCTGAAAATGTCGGACAGTTAACATGCTTACCTGGATGCCCACCTCCATGCTTTTATTTG